CAGTCTCTTCTGAAAGGCACTAATCTCATGCATAAAGGCTTTACATTCATCATCTAGTCTCCCCAAACCATCATCTTGAAGACTGAGTTCAACATGAATTTCAGGAGGACACATTCAGACCACAGTATTAAGTGAAAGACAGTGGGGGTCCCTATGAATGGAAAGAATAGACCGGGCGGTGGTGGCGCACGCCTTTAATCCCAGCACTTGGGAGGCAGAGGCAGGAGGATCTCTGTGAGTTCGAGACCAGCCTGGTCTACAAGAGCTAGTTCCAGGACAGGCTCCAAAACCACAGAGAAACCCTATCTCGAAAAACCAAAAAAAAAAAAAAAATAGAATAATCAGTCACATGAGTAAAGGTCAAAGATTCTACATAAACCATTTTGGATATAAAGGAAAAATTTCAAATCATTTATGCACCAAAGTTTCCTGCTTAGACATAAGTGCTACAGACACAAGGGAGATACAGCAAGGCAGCTACACATCCAATTTTGTTTTGTTTTGTTTGGAGCGGGGGACAACTGAGACAGGGTTTCTCTGTGTAGCCCTGGCTGTCCTCGAACTCACCCTGTAGACCAGGCTGGTCTTGAACTCAAGAGACCTCCCCCCCCCCACAGCTCTTGGATTAAAGGCGTGTGCTACCACACCCAACAGATAGGTTTACATCATGAAAGAAACTGACCTTAAATAGTGTCCAATACTGTAAATTTTATGGCCTTAGTAGCTACTTCTCTACCAAATGGAAGGGGGTTATGTTAGAAAGCAGTATCATGGTACCCCTCCCACTCACTTCTTTTAAAGAATCACTACTAGATATACTACCAGGGTTAACAGTAGCCTACCTCTCTAGTGTAATGAGACTGAAACACCTAACTTTAATAGAGACTCTCAAGATTTGTCTAGAAAAAGATACTGCATTGTATAATAAAATTACAGTATCTAATTTAAAAGACAGAAGCACAGTGGCTATTGAGTTGGCTCAGTAGGTAAAGGGTCTTTTTTACTGTGTGTGATGCACAGGAACAGGATGTACACATCCCGTGAGTGTTCGGAAGAGTGGGGTCAGATCCCCTAGAACTGGAATTATAAGCAGCTGTGAGCTATGCGACAAGGTGCTGGAAACTGAACTTGAATGTTCTGAACAAGCAGCGAGTGCTCTCAACCAGACACCTCTCCAGCCCCAGGGCAAAGATCTCTGCCACCAAGCCAGTCCTGAGTTTGATCCTAGTAAAATGGCTCCCAAATCTGTAAATCTCCAAGTGGCATGGGCCTCTTGCACCCACACACAAGTAAGCAAATTGAAAAGGGATACTGTATTGGACTCCTTCCAGAGGTTACATAACATTATTATTTTTGCGTATATGCACACAAATATATGTGAATATTGGTGTGCACATGTGCATTCACACACAGACAAATTCCAAGATTACTAATTCCACGGGTTCTGAATGGTGGGGCTGAGATCCCATGATAACTATATACACTAGTTTGGGCATGTGACTCATGCCTGTAATCTCAGCATCTGAAAGGATGAAGCAAGGAGATTATGGCAAACTCAAGGTCAGTCTGGAGTATATGGTGAGTTTGGGGCAAATTGAGGTTAAATGGAGACTCTGCTTAAAAAAAAAACTAAAAATTAAAAAAACTTACTGATCTATTAACTATCTAAGGCAGTGGTCCTGAACCTGGAGTCACACAGCCCCTTTAGGAGACGACCGATCCTTTTACAGGGGTCGCCTAAGACCATCAGAAAACAAACATTTACATTACAATTCATAACAGCAACAGAATTACAGTTATGAAGTAACAACAAAAATAATTTTATGGTTGGGGGTTAGCACATGAGGAACTGTTCAAAGTGTCACAGCATTAGGACGGTTGAAAACCACTTTATATATGTACTAAATCATTTAATGATCCCTACCACCACAATAGGTGCTAGAATGATCCCTACTGTACAAAGAAGGCAACTGTGGCATGCAGGAAGAGTCAGCAACTGCTCGTTATCAATAGTGCTTCAACTGGTACTCTTCACACCTTTATTACATCAAGATAAAATCAGGATTTATCTTTGGAGAAATTACTTACAGCCTAAGTCTCTACTCCAGTGTCATAAACATAAGCAACCCAAATAAAGATGCACCGACCTTTTCAGACAATATGTTCAAAGGACACAAACAGGTCCTAATTCTAATTTCTTCTGACACTAATATATCTTCTACAGGGATAAAATAAAATGCTAATTATCACTGACCCAAAGTTGAGACATTAATGCTACAGAAACTTATCTATTAGTTATAAAGCCATGGGGTCACTGGAAAGCTACCTGATTTCAAATAAAAAAGTTTACAATTATATATTCTATAAACTAGACAGAAGACTTGAAAGGGTCCCAACACACACACACACAAAAGTTTAGAAGACAGAGATACTAAAGACCTTAATTTGATCACTACATATCGTATACAAGGTCAAATTATCGTAGTTGGTGATCTATAAACAAGTTCCTAGCCAGGTGGTGGTGGCGCGCGCCTTTAATCCCAGCACTTGGGATGCAGAGGCAGGAGGATCTCTGTGAGTTCGAGACCAGCCTGGTCTACAAGAGCTTGTTCCAGGATAGGCTCCAAAAACCACAGAGAAACCCTGCCTCGAAAAACAATCAAACAAACAAAAAAAAAAAAACCAAGTTCCTAGATGTTCAAGTGCTAACAGACTCCAATGTGAAATAAGGGCTGGATCCCAGTGGTGCATTTACTGCCGTAGGCAACTTGAAAGAAACTCCAGTTCCCTCAAAAATGAATTTCTGACTTAAAATTTTATGTGACATATTTTGAGTAATGTTTGCCTTACCTGTTACCTGATGAGATACTTTTTTTTAAAAAAAAAAAGTTTTTTTAAAATGCCAGGAAAGGGGGGGAAACAATCAAAATCAAGTAAAATTAACTAGGATCCAATCTCTCTTTCTTTTTATATATATGAATAGCACACATTGAAAATGTACCTGGCACTTTCTGACAATTACATGAAGAATGGCCAGATGCTTCCTGTTGATGAACAGCAGAGAAAGGCCAACTGACAGATTCGGACTAGAGGTCACAAGAAACCACTGCAAACCCAGCTTCCTTCCAAAACCAGTAGGCCCAACTCATCTTGAAATTTTACACATTCATCACCCACACCTAGGAAACCCAAACTGACTCAGAAAAAAGCTAAGGGCTTATATATGCAAATTATATATGAATATTACTTATGCTTTGTTTCAGTAAAAGTCTCACCTTCAACTCAAGTCTGAGCCCTACAGTGCTGAAAAGAACACTGATGCACAGGTCTTTACAAGCACAGTAGATGTACTTGTAAATTCACATTATTGTCTGTCTTGTCACTTGAACTAGTTCCAAATGTTCCTGAGACTTCAAGACTATCGGTAAATTAGAATCTTTGTAATGCTTACGTATCTTAATCCCCATCTTTTAAAAAGTGAGAGCCCTCTCTCCCAAAATTCAGGAATCTCTGAATCATTCTTCTCATTCATGTTTTTTAAAAGTTTGTCTTGTACAGTATCCTGATTGTACTTACATGGCGAAAACAGGATAAAGAAAAAATGCATGATGTACGGTGTTTTCCAGTGGTTATGTGGTGTGATTATCACATAAGACAGCATGCAAAATAGATTCAAAAACCTCTTTTCTGTTTAGGCACTAAAAAGATTTGCAAAAATGCAGAACAATGTGTCTCTTGCCTAAACCATGAGTTAACACATGAAACAACTTTTGACTTTTCACAAAAGAAAAATGAATAAAGGGATAACAGTTATTAGTTCCCTTAAGATACAAAGCCATAGAGTCTGAAGGGCTGAGTCAAATTCTATCAGTTAAAGTTAAATAAACCTGGGTGAATCTCTATCAGGTAATATCTTCCGTATAGTAAATTCGGTGCGTTTTAAATTCTGGGATGGCAACTACTTCACAAGGAAAAGTACACCAGCGTTTTGTCCAGATAAAAATTACACTTCAGAAAGTAACTCGCCTGAAGAGACAGCACACCAGTGTCTGCAGAAGGAACTTCAAACTATTTCCACGCTATGAAGCTCCCTTTAGGAAGTTCTGTGGTCTCGCCCCTGCTTTAAACAGATGTGTCTGCTAGACACAATCCAAACGGACTTAAAGCAAAAGCTTCAAGGGAAAACACAGCAATTAGGCCCGTGCCATCCTTCGCTTTCATTTCGGAGATGCCCATTTGGAGCTAGGCACGCGGCTTCAACACAGTGGGAGAGGTTCACAACAGCACACTCAACACCGATCTGTGCCCAGACATGAGATGACCCGACGAAAACTCGCGGCTTCTTTCCCGCACCCCCGCTCGCGTGGGTTCCGGCAGCCAAGTCTCTGGGGGCAAAAGCCTCGACCACTGAGACTGGCAGGCTCCGTCCGTCCCTCCAGGGCTCTCCTGTCTACCCTGCCCCGGGCCGGCTCTCCCGCCGAGACCCGAGCGCCCCCCGACCCCGTCCGTGGGCCCCAGAGCGCTGGAGCGGCCCAGTCCGGCCTTCCCGCTGGTCGTCGGCCCGGCCCGGCCCGGTGTTCAGGCCCCCGAAACAAAGGAGCGGGCGGAGGCCCCGCCGCCTTTCCAGCCGCCCGCCCCACCGGCCCGGATCCCCACGGCCATGGCGACCCCACCGCAGCCCCGGCCCGTGGGGACCGCAGGAGGCCGCGGCGCCTGGCCGAGGAGGGGGCGGCGGCCGCCACCATGTCTGCCGCCCCTCCCAGAAGCCAAGCGCCGGGCGGACAAAGCGCGGCGACGGCAGCGCGGACACCCAGGCCGACCCCGCCGACCCCCGCCAGACGAGCGGGGCCGGGAGCCCCGGAAACCCGGCGCCTTAATGCAATAAACAGGAAATCGCGGGGATGATCTGGGTTCCGGGGGAAGTGGAATTATTTTTTACCAGCGAAGAGATCAACTTCCACATCCGGTGGTAACAGGGCCCTACACAGACCCGCACTGACCTGGAAAAGCTTCGGGAGCGGCGGCGGGGGAGCAGCGGGAGGAGGTGCGGGGACCGCGGCGCCTCGGAGCCGGCAGGGCTGACGCGGCCCCGCCACACACAGAGCGCTTCGCTGCACAGGGCGCTATTTTCCGAAAATGCCGCGTCTGGTCGGCGCCCAAAATCCCCACCGAAAAGTCCCCGTCGGCGCGGAGGGACACGGCGGGCGAGCTCCCAGCATGCCTGCGGAGGCCTGGCCAGCCCGCGCCGGTTTCCGCCCCACTGCCCCCGGGAGCAGACCTGCCGCCACCCTCCCCGGGCCCCGTTCCGGCGGGTGAAAGGGACGAAAGGGTCTGGTTTTGACTTTAAACAGAGAGAAAGGAAATAAGCCATTTCTAGCGCTCGGCCACACAAAGGCTGCGGCGGAATGATCCACTGAGCGACCGCAAGTCCCGGCTCGCCCGGCGCCTGCGCGGCAGCGGGGTGAGCGCTGCGGAGGCCATGTGCGCGGCCGGGTGTTCACGCCGCGCCGTGGGGCGGAATGTGTGGGAACTGGGGTGCGTGTGCTGAGAGTCCTTTCTCCCCGGCGTGACACGTGAATCACAGTGACTGCGGGACGCTTGGGGCTTAAGCTTGCTCGTGGGGTGTTGTAGTAGATTCCCGGCAGGCGGAAAGGCAGCTAGGAGCCTAGGATTTACCTTAAAGTGGTCCAGGAAGGTAGACCCGGAGTTGCTATTTTAGGTGCCAGTGCAGGAACAAAAGATGTGTCCTCTTCTCCTGGCGTAAACTGCTCGTGTGTGATGAGAATGTTTCGGCGGCTTTTTTTTAATGTGGTAAGAGTGACACCGCCGTGTCTGCAATGTCAAGATTTTTTTTTTTCCTAGATAGAATCTCTAACAGCCCCGGATGACCTGGAGCTCAGTTTGTAGGCCAGAGTGACCTCGAACTCACAGAGATCCTCCTGCCTTTGCCTCTGGATTGTTGAGATTAAAGGCGTGTGCTACCCTTGGTGTTGAGTTCCTTTTTTTTTGAATTTTCGAGACGGGGTTTCTCCGTAGCTCTTTTGGTTCCTGTCCTGGAACTAGCTCAGGCTGGCCTCGAACTCACAGAGATCCGCGTGCCTCTGCCTCCCAATAAACTCTTGGTACATTAAAAATGGAATTAAGGCCGGGCGGTGGTGGCGCACGCCTTTAATTCCATTTTTAATGTACCAAGATTTTATTGGGAGATAGTGATTCGTGAAGAAAAAGACTTATAAATTTTAACTTACACAAGATTTCCAAAGCTACACTTTGGTATGTTTAACAGGGAAGTCCACTACTTGTGGAACTTTTGGCATCTGGTGTCTAGGAATGGGAATATCTGAGACACTTTGGCAATTTATCCTAAGAGCAAAAAGGCTTAAATGAGATCCAAGTAGTTCGTGTGTGTGTGTGTGTGTGTGTGTGTGTGTATCCTCAAACACGTAATCATTGTGTCTCCACTTGCCCTTTTTACTAATATGGTGAAAGTTCCTAGTCAGTGTGACTTAACTAGAGCATAGCAAAGTAAACTATGGGGGCCATGGTCGGGTGCTTTTTTTTTTTCTTTTGATTTAATATTTTATTGTTTTGCGTGTTTTGTTTTTTTCATGAGACAGACTCTCACTATGTGATGCTCTGGCTGTCCTGGAACTCAAAATGTAGACCCGGCTGAGCTCAAACTCAAAGAGGTCCACCTGCCTCTGCCTCCCAGTTGCTGGGATTAAAGGTGTGTGTCTATATGTCCAGCTGTTAAGGTTTTTCAGATTGTCACGCCTTCCCATAACATTTGGAGTAAATATTTAATGATTGCCACAGAATATTACTTTTGTTGTGCTATAGCATATAGACAAGTATACATCATCGATGATTATGATGGCAGAAATGTTGCCAAATTTGATGTGGTTTCCAAGGGAGATAACACACACCAATAGGAGGAATCAAAGGGGTCCTCAGAAGCAATTCTCTTTAATAAGAGGATTAGTGAAGGCCCTCCAGCCAAAGAAACAATAATACAAAAGTTTAAGAGGCAAGCACAGGGGAGACTGAGTCATTTTAAGCATTCCCAGAGATGTATCTGTGGAGGCTTAGTGACAGCCTCAAATGTTATGTGAATGAATGAACTGATATCTTTCGTAACTATTCAACAACAACAAAAAAAAAAAAGTCCAAGGCATGAGAAAGAGTAATTTGGAAGGCAATAATGACTTGGGTTGAGGTAGTCACAAGTAGAAATGAAGAGAACCACAACTGATTGAGAATTCGGAGAATTTGCTTGACTGGATGAGAATGTCTGGAAGAGATGTCACAGATGACTCTCATGTGTGTCAGAGGAGTACCAGAAGGAGGGTGATGCGTTCCCTGGCAGTAGATGCTAAGGGAGAGAGGAATGTGTGCTCGGGAAGGTGGAGCCTCTGTTGACCACCTAAAGCCTGCGGGCCTGTCTAATCAGCAGTTAAGTTGGATTCTTTCAGCAGTTGTTGGAGCGCCCATTCTACCTGATACCATTCTCTGTGCTAGAAAAGATAAAAGTAGCAACGAAGAACATGGCTTCTGCTCCCATTTCTGGTAAAGGGAAGAGAGACTAAGGATTTAAAACAAAGGCGAGAGCTGGGCGGTGGTGGCAGTGGCGGCAGTGGCGCCCGCCTTTAATCCCAGCACTCGGGAGGCAGAGGCAGGCGGATCTCTGTGAGTTTGAGACCAGCCTGGTCTACAAGAGCTAATTCCAGGACAGGCTCCAAAGCTACAGAGAAATCCTGTCTCGAAAAACAAAACAAAAAAAACAAACAAAAAAAAAACCCAAAAACGAGAGATAATGTCCCATAGTAGTTTCACAAGGAAAATAGAAGGGCAGCTGAATAAAGTAGCTCTCCGGGTGAGGACGCGGACAGCTGAAGTTTGGTCTGCGCTAGGCCCTGACTGGGAAGAAGTTAGGGCAGTTTGTGGAATCCAAAGGGAGGTCAAACATGAGGTCAGTGTGACTGGAGTGGAGGGGAATAAGAAGGGACGGAAGGAAAGAAAAGTCCGCAGCTTTGGTAAGAAGTCATTGAAAGCCTTAAGGAATGAAGCGGCATGGGCATGGCAGTAGAGATGGAGAAAGCAGATGGAGCCAAAAAACAGCTGATATTAGATATAATCTGTATGTTCGTGAAGTGGAGCGAGGGAAGGAAGAATCAAGCGTTGAGTATGGCTGCCTTAACTGCCACCATCAGGTAGAAATATAAGCTACATATAATTTTGCAGTAGTTGCCTAAAAAATGTGAAATTAAAGTCTTCTTGAAATATATGCCAATATTATATGTGATATAAAATATAGTTTAATGTTTTACATTCCTTTTCTTGCTATTTGAAATCTAGTGTATAAATTATAGTTAAAGTTTATCTCAATACCTGATTTCATAAAATTTAATCTTGAAAAGTTGATTTATCTATCCTCTTGGTTCCAGACATTAAGCCATGCTTATTTTAACTGTAAGATGAAGTTAAAGTTTTGAAAATAAATTTCTAGATTAATCAGATTTAAATTGAATAATCCTAGCACTTGAGAGGCAGAGGCGGGCAGATCTCTTTGAGTTTGAGGCCAGCCTTGTCTACATAGTTCCAGGACTGTCAGAACTATGTGGATAGGCCTTGTCTCAAAAAGGGGGCGGAAGAAGAAAAGTTGTTCTGAAGGCTGAGAATACAGCTCAGCAGTAGAGTGCCTGCCTGTCATTAGCAAGGCACTGAGTATCCATAGCACTACCAAAAGAAGTTTACCAGAAAGCCTTGAATGCTAAGCTAAAGGATTGTGAAACGCTGACACGTGTGGTGTTTGAGCCTCGTTGTATTTAAGACTAGAAAGAGGCCACGAGGTGGCCATCTGGTGACTCCTAAAACCAATGTTTCATTCCATTGTTTTGACTTTATGAAATCCAGTTTTAGCTTAGTTCTTCTAGAACAATGCCACCAAAAGTCTAATCCATTAGTTAGTGCCAGTCTGCAGACCCTCCTTTTGTTACCACCCAAGACATTTAAGAAAGTAAAGAGTTCAGAAGTGTGGAATAGAGATTAATATCCATAAATGTACCCTCCAGAGCTGTATTGTTGTGTGGTTTTTTGGTTTTTCCATGTCAGAGTTTCTCTGGCTGTCCTGGGACTTGCTCTATAGACCAGGTTGGCCTCAAACTCTGCCTTCTGAGTGCTAGGATTAAAGGCATACACAACCACTCCTGGCTGTTTCATGGGGTTTTGTTTTTATTCCCCTTTTCTAATAATTTTTGTTTTATAGACATAGCTCTCTATTTGTTTGGTTATTTGTTTTGGTGTGATTTGGTTTTGGCTTTTTGAGACAGGTTTTCTCTGTGTAACAACTCTGGCTTTCCTGGAACTCACTCTGTAGACCATACTGGCCTCAGACTCACAGAGATCTGCCTATCTCTGCCTCCCAAGTGATGGGATTAAAGACATGTGCTACCACTACCCAGCGTTTTGCTTTTTTAAGGAGGGCTTATCGTGTAGCCAAGACTGGCCGCTTTGTAACCAAGAATTGCCTTCAATTCCTGATCTTCTAGTCCCCACCTCCCAAGCAGATGACAGGCATGCACCACTACATATGGTGGTGCTGGGGATCAAATCTAGAACCTAGTGCATGCCAGGGTCTCTGTTAACCAAGCTACACCCCAGCCTTTCAGAGCATTTTTGTAATATCATGAAGAGGGTGAGAAGGATCAAGTTTTCAGAAGACGCTAAATCTAAGCTTTTTGTACTTTATAATGACAACTGTTATTAATAAAAGAATATCTCATGTTCTTCCATATGGACCCAGAGAACTGCATAAAAACAAAACTATATAGCTGCCACTTTTTAAAACTTTATTTTATATATATGGGTGTTTTGCCTGCATGTATGTCTCTGTTCATGCCTGGTGCCTGGGGAGACCAGAAGAAGGTGTCAGATCCTCTAGAACTGCAGTTATAGATGGTCATGAGCTGTTATGTGGGTGCTGGAACTTGAACTTTGGTCCTCTGGAAGAACAGCCAGTGCTCTTAACTGCTGACCCGTCTTCCCAGACCCCTAGCAGCTGTTTATTAAATGCCAGCCACTATGTATAGCCTGTAAATACAGTGTCTCATTCAGTGCTCAAAATAATTCTGCGGAACAGGTATTATTATTAAGATTAATTTCCTGTGAGGAATTGTGCTTAATAATTTGTC